AATTTTTACAAATCTACAGGCACAATATGGCAGCTTTACTGAAAAAAATAAGTAATATCTTAAATAGACATGAGGTTTGGTAGTACTCATGCAAAGGCTGCAATAAAAAAGTAGACAAAACTATTTATGACAAATGTCAAAATTATCAAAAAAACAATAAAGACAGTATACCGAGGTAAAGTACTATCAATTACTCATGAGAGAGAAAAATATGAAAATTAAATATAAAAATATCATCTGATGCACAATTATAATATAAAATGAAGGTATCTTGTTAAAATAATAGTGGAAGATGAAACAGATTCTGCAAGAGACACTTTTTGACGCAACAGAAACTTTGATAGGCTGCAATGCTCAAAACTTCATGGATGATATAAAAGAGGTAACTTCTTAATTTATTATATTTTATACATATAAAACAATATGTTTCATATATAAGATCTTAATTTTTTCCTCTTTAAAACAGAAAAAAAATCAGAGTTCATTCTTTCAAAAGTTTGTTCTCAACATCGGAAAGACATATAAGTTCCTTGTAAGGTTGGATGAGAACTCAAAGGATGAACGTGCACAGGGAAAGATGATAGCACAAGAAATCCAAATCCAAAAAGACATCCCAATCAACATTGATGATGATTATTCAGTTCCATAAATGAGGATATAAAGAAACTTTGTGGAGAATTAAGCAATTATGTTTTTTCTTCAGGCAACACGTATTCACGAGTGTGCCAGCTAGATATGGAGCCTTACTTAATGTACCGTTATGCCGTGAGCTGGCATACTAACTCTCTTCAAAATAACATGTATTATCTGCAAATGCACCCGCTTCCTCCTCTAAAGAGAAGACCAAACATCTATAATCGTAAAATTAACTTAAATTTAACATTAAATTATGTGAATCTAAATACATATTCAGAGAATAGCTCACTTTATTACTTTAAATTTGCATGTCAACTATTTTTTACTTATCTATACTGCACATGAACTATTGTTGATGAGTCTTTTGCAAGAAATATGATGACCAAGCACAGCTTACTGAAACTGTTGAGAGGAAACGATAGCTTTCCATAGAGAAGGTAGCTAATTTTACTAAATTGTTATTCTAATTTATTTCTTTTAGTAGCCCAAATTTATTTGTATCTATTTTATGACATGGCCAGATTCTCATTGTTCTTAAAAGAATAATCAATGAAGATTGCCTACTACTATATTCCATAAGCAAAGATGATCGTCAAAGCCCATGTAAAATTCAAGAACTTGAGCTTTTTCTTTTTGGTGAGAGTTTTGATGATTTATCAATGACTTTATTTTGGTTTGCAGTATTATTTTGAGGACAAAAGCACCGCCTATTGATACAAAGAAGCCACCGCCTGTTTCATCTAAGAACCCACCGCCTATTGATACAAAGAGAGTTCTTGAGAGATCAGATTCAACGGTTCCTCCAATGTCAGTAGACTTGAAAACAAAGCCAGTTAGTTATACCCCACATGTTGGAAGGCCTCCAGCGCTTAAGAAGCCAAAGGCTAAAGACCCTCATAAGAGGGATATGACGTTTGAAGAGAAGCAAAAGCTGAGCAATAATTTGCAAAATCTTCCTCTAGAGAAACTGGATAATGTGGTGCAGATTATCAAGAAGAGGAACTCATCACTGAGTCAGCATGATGATGAGATTGTGGTAGATATAGATAGTGTTGATACTGAGACTCTTTGGGAGCTGGATAGGTTTGTTACCAATTATAAGAAGAGTCTAAGCAAGAACAAGAGGAAGCCAAAGCTTGGTGAGCTTGCACTTCAGTAAAGGTCGGACAATCAGCAACATGAAGGGCAAGAAATGGTACAGGAAAGGGTATGACAATTGAATGATATTTTATAAGAGGTCTTCTTTTTGTACAGTTACTTAGATTTACATTTTCCTCATTTGAGCAGAATTCTGATGCTGTAGTTGCAGAAGTGCCAACAGAGAGCAAGACATGTAACTTAATTTCACTTGCCTGATATTGTTGTACTTTTTCCTAATATCTTGCTATTTGTTGTTAACCCATATCATGGAATGTGTGGTTAAATTTAATTTGTGAAAACAGTGGTTGATGAAAAGCAAACGGCTTCCTCTCCACTACAAGCAGGTGAAAAGAAGGGAGATAATGCAAGTAGGTCAAGTAGTTCGAGCAGCTCGGGTAATGAGAAAATTTGCTATGGATTGATTTATTAATTTAAATATTAATGTTTAATTATGTTTATGGTTTATTGTAATGTATAGGAGATTCCATGTTTTGCTCAAATATGTGCCTTGTATCAGTTTCAGAACTGATAAGGAAGCTTTCAAGGTACAGAAAAAACCCTAAATTTATCTAATATAAAAGTTCATAATCACATAGCAAAATATATTTTGATCTTGTCCCAGATAATATCTGAGACAACCCGAGTATCAAAATTTACAGATAATTTTCTTACTTTGACCAGAAAAAAGGTTCATCAAAACGGAGTATCTAAGTTAAATCCCTGTCTTACTTGCTTTATGTGCCAGTTTATTTGTTTGACTTCCGAGGACTCTCCATTTCCAGTTTAATTAGTACTATGGACTTAATATAATTAGTTTATTTGTTTGACTTCCGAGGACTCTCCATTTCCAGTTTAATTAGTACTATGGACTTAATATAATTATTTTGGTTATAATTTAGGCTACATTATTGTAGCCTTTCAAGACAGTACTATAGAATTATTGAGTCAAGTCAGCGGTGCTTATCTACTATGCATGTACGATGATCATGTACATATCCAAAGCACTCATACCATATAGCTATTAGTCGGTCATAAAGTTTACCTCGCTCATTGAATAAAGATTTCTGAATCCTATTTTGTATAGTGTTCAAGAGCTAATGCTAACTCCATTGCAAGAAATTGAATAAAGATTTCTGAATCCTATTTTGTATAGTGTTCAAGAGCTAATGCTAACTCCATTGCAAGAATAACTGCTTGAAAATTCCTTTTGAAAAAGTTATGTTTTCTGTATGCCCTAACTTATGTAGTAAGTTTAGATATGTTTCTTTTCCTAGAGGATTTGTTGATTATGGTCAGTGAACTTTATTTTTTGTTCAACAATCAATATCTTTGTTGATTAAGTTTTTTCAACAATTTCATTTCTAGATTAGCATCTAATATCCTTGGACATCTAATGACATGATTTCATAAGGATAATGGAAGTGTACAAAAGAATATGTATATACAAACATTAACAGGAAACTGCCCTCATAATGTCTTATGGCACATCGAGTTGAAGCACAATTGTTGTGTTCTTTCAAAACAACCCAACAAGTTGCAGGGACCAATCTATTTCAATTTTTTCTTCTGTAATGGGGAATGTGTTCGCGTATCAAAAAAACTAAGATTTTCTATGAGATTGGAATTCATTCTCTCTTTATGCCGCTTTCTCTCTCTCCTCACACACTCTCTCTCTCCGCCCTCTGAAGAAAGTAATAATCAGCGAACCGAAACCAATAGCGATTCCTTCCCTCCTTATCATCAATCTTTTGAAACCCTAAAGGCCCAACTGAATAAATCCTAAAGGTGAGACCTTTTCTGAGTTCTCCTTTGCTCCAGTTTGAACTCACAAAGGTGGGACCTTTTTGAGTTTTTTTTTTACCTTTTCTGAGTTCTCCTTTGCTCCAGTTTGAACTCACAAAGGTGGGACCTTTTTGAGTTTTTTTTTTAATTTTGAAATTTTGAATCGCATAGTTGAGACATTCTCTTGGTTTTGTTTTTTCTGCAGATTTTTATTGGGATTTTGTGAGGGATGAAGATATCATTATCGTCTTGTGTAAGTTTCTTCTTTTTTTTAATTTATAGGGATGATGATCAGAAACGTTTGAAGTTTAATTTTAAAAAAGATGGGATTTTGGGACTAAATTTAGTGAACACAAATGATGAGTTAAGTGATTGTTTTGATTATTGCATTTTCCTTGTAGATGAACTCCTGTAGAAAATTGATTTCTGGAATTCTTCACCCTATTGTTTGTAGTTGATTGTTAGAATGTAGAATTGATTTCTGGAATCCCACCACAACTCGGAGTTTTGGTGTGGTGGAAGGGGCCTTTTAAAATGATAATAAAAATACAGGAGAGAGTGATAATCCAGAATGTTTTAGTACAAGATGTAAATGTTTTTATGATTTCTATGTAATGGAATCTGGTTTTGTTGCAAATTCCTATTTTTAAGTTGACCCAGATTGTTGGTGAATGGGAGCAATAACATGTAACGGAGTCATTAAAGTATTTCTTTTCCCCCCCTCAAAAGGTAATGAAATCAACGTGGTTACTTTGCATTTGAACTTTTGAAACTTTCTTCAACTGCCAACCTCCTTCAAGTATGATGTTTTAGAGAACTTGTGAATTGCAGAATAGTTCCATCCACTTCATCGATTCATTGGGACTTGCATCATGACAAATTCTCATAAACCCAATATTCTTCCATCTATCCATCTCTTGCATGCATTAAACTTTCATTAACGGAATATCTATTTAAATTATTATGAACTGTTGCTGAAACCTTAAATCCTTGTTCATATGACTCTCCATTTAACTTTGATGGGGATAAATTCTCAAGGAAAACTTTGTGAAGTTTGGCTGTGAATCATACTGTGAGTCCTAATTTGCTAGTTTCGTTATGTTTTAACGATATTTGAAGGTTCACTCATTTCCAGATGATGTAGCAATGGAACTTATTGAAGAAGAGCTTGGTCAGCCTTGGCATAAGATTTATTCTGAGCTTACTCCTTCACCAATTGCTGCTGGTAATTCCATTTGATGTTCAGTGACTTCTTTTTGGACTGTCTGATAGGCTGTTAAGTAGCCTGACATGCAAAACTAGCTGTGCTTTTCCACAACATTCGTTAACTTTATTCCATAATCAATTGATTATTTTAATGCCAGTATATGGAAATTATGCAGCATCCTTGGGACAAGTGTACAATGGTAGGCTAAAAGAGAATGGTGATTTGGTAGCTATTAAAGTACAAAGACCATTTGTTCTTGAGACCGTGACAATAGATCTATTTATTATCAGGAAACTGGGATTAATATTGCGAAGGTTCCCACAGGTAATTTATCATTTGCTTATTCTGAACGTTTGAAGCTGCACGTTCATTACTATAACTTGGATTGATTCAAACGTTACAGATTTCCATAGATGTTGTTGGGTTAGTACATGAATGGGCTGCCCGCTTTTTCGAGGAGCTTAATTATGTGAATGAAGTAAAAAATGTAATTATCTTTGCAAAAATGATGAAGAAATACCTTCCGCAGGTAGTTGTCAACCTTTTTTCTTAACTGTGATATCCAGTACCACCTATCAGATTGTTCAAGAAGCATTAATAACAATATATAATTTAATAAAATATTTTAATATCTAATCAAGACTGCATCTAATGCATCAATGTCAAACAATAAAGCACATCTCAACTGTCACAATGTTCATGTCTTATCCTATAAATTCTCGGCCACAATCACATACATGTTTGTGTGTGTGGGGGTCTGCGCGCGTGGGGGGAGGGGGGGTTGGGGGTTGTTGTTATTTTGACCTATGCAGGATCTCCTTCAACTATTGCCAACATAAAAGATACAATTAGGAGCTGAGCTAAATTAAATTTATCGTCCATCCCATGATTCTTTGTTTGCCTCCAATAAATCAAATCAATAATTCATAATCACACCTACAAGATTGTTTTTGTGAAACTTTTAAATTTTAGGTTATCTGATGGTCCTCTCAGACTTCATAGTTTTTATGGAGGAAACTTGTTTGGCTCTGATTTGCCTGCCTAGAAAGTGTTTTGTTTAGAACATAAATAACTAAAATCAAGACCTCAAAATCTAAAGGAGGTCTTCTATTCCAACTTGTAGGCTTCTTATCAATTTTCTTAAACATTCACTCGCCAATCGTAATATGACCATTGTATATACATTAATAGAAAATGTCTGAATGCAAGTTCTTCCCTATCACATTTGAAACATTTTCCTTTTATTCAATACATGTGCAAATTTAGATTAACCCTTCATTTGTATGTTCCTTTTATTCAATACATGTGCAAATTTAGATTAACCCTTCATTTGTATGAGTATAGATACTACATTGGTTTTTTTAACTATCCTTTTATTTATGTTTGTTTGCTGTCAGGGGTTCTTCTATGAGGAGAGGTGCCCAATCTAAAGGATGCATCGATTCAGCTATGCACTCACATTGCCAGGGATTGGTTTTACAGTGAAGATAAGGAACATAGCAATAAAGTGATTGTTCCAGGATTGTCTAACTGTGGACAACTTTGGTGATCAATTGCTTGCGGTTTTTACGTTTTGTTTTTGCATGTAACATGTGCCTTATCTTCCCAGTGAACTTTTGACTTGGAAAATTCTTTCATGCTTCTCTTTTCATTCCTTTACCCAATGAACTAATGTGATGTTGAATATTAGTTATTTGCATCTAAGATCAACTAACTTTTTTCTTTATTGTGTGGTCACTTTTATCACATGCAACTTATATATATGGTTGATTAGGTTTCTTCGCTATGAAGAATATTCTAATTACTCCTGTGAGATAATGTTTAATTGACATTCATCTTGTATATTGCATATAAGTTCAATGCATAATTATGAAAACATTATTAATTTTGACTCTTGTAGTTTCTAAATATGTATCACGTGCAATGTATGTATCCATATGCTTGATATATGGTTTAAATTAAATAAATCTTAATGAAATGAATCAATAACAAAAGAATAAATGAAAAAATTTACCACGTGCATTGCACGTGCAATCCAACTAGTCTAACATAAAATGTGTAGTTTGTATCCATGTAATGTTGTAAAATTGCTAAACACGTATTAGAATTTGTTTGTGATGATTTTTTTTTTAAATCAATTTGTTTATTTAAAATGTACAAAAAAGACACAAATCAGCATCAAATTATATGTTATGGCTCGTTTGATGTATTATATAATATTATATGGGCATTGATTGCAGTTGCTTAGTCACTGTATAAAGACATTCGACCGTGTGCCAGGATGAACTAATAACTTTTGTGAATGAACTATATAAAGCCTAAAAGGAAAAAAGAATAATCAGCATCAGAAACTGTCCATCTCTGAGGGTTTGGCCAAAGTGCGGATCAATGGAAAATCGATCAGAATAGTTATTCAACCAGATTATGTGATACATGTCGCGAGATGGAGGAAAGTATTATTTATGTATAATTGGAAAAACAGAGGCTGAATAAAAGTGGAGGCTCACCTGTGCATCTTTGCCATTAAACTTACAAGGACAGGGAAAAGCGGAACAAGAGTTGCACGGGTAGGAGAGCAGATGAATAAATTTTAATAGAGAGGAAAACAAAGCAAAATTATGCCTAAAACATGCAACTATTAAATTTTAATAGAGAGGAAAACAAAGCAAAATTATGCCTAAAACATGCTACAATAGTTGCTGGATTGAGAGGAATTATAGAAAAGAGAGAAAATAAGGATGAGAAAGTACTATTGGGATATAAAATAAGTACGACCACGTGCAACACATGTGCATTATACAATATGAGGATTATGACCCTGTTGCGCGCAGCGAAAATTTCGGCAGCACTTCGGCAGCACAACAAGAGAGTCAGGTCGCAATAAGAATTCTTGTTTCTCAAAAGGGAACAAGAATCTGAAGCCTAATATCCCATCAAAGTGGGATATTAGCTATTCCTCTCGTCAGCTCTAGGACTGTGCGTCGAGGGATCCTAAAAAGCTATTATAAATCACACAAAAGCGATACAACCAATTTTATGTGGTTCGGCAAATTGCCTACGTCCACGGGGCAAGGAGGGGGGAGATCTACTAATAGAGGGAGAGAATACAACTAGGGTTTACAATCACTCAATCTAAACCCTTAAACAAACTCTCAAATCCCTCACAAATATCTCTCACAAAAGGATGCAAAAAACCCAACTTTTCTTTTATCTTTGCACTCCTACAGCCGTCACAAAACTCTGTGCTCACCCTCAAATTCGCACGCGCCTGCAGCTTTTTCTTTTGCTTCTGTTCCGCAGCCTTTTCCCAGCCGCAAAACAACCTCCTGCTAACCAAACCCTATGAATTAACAAGTCTTATATAGGGACATTGGAAGTCGGGTCATAGGCCATCATCACGCGGAAAGAATTGAAACCGCGTTCACCTTTTTTTTTCTTCAAAGCTTGCACGTAGGTGGGGGCCACTGTCCTATCCGCGTTCACAATTCTTCACCTCGGTAAAGTTTTTTCAAAACTGAGCCGACACCAAAGTAACCAAATGTCCCACTCATTCGACAACAAGTCGGGAACCCGAACGAGAGCTCAAACAATCTCACCCCCATCAACTAATCCAAACCGGCTGCATCAAACATGACTGCATACGTATCCTCTTGCCCAAGGAATCAAGCCGAACGTAGTTCACCCAAACGGCCGTCAACGGCCTTAGCAATCACAAATATGCAACAAGTTTTGACAATGATCAAACTTGTTGCTCGGAACCACCTTAGTGAGCATATCCGCCGGATTATCCTTCGTGTGGACTTTCATAATCTCCACATCGCCATTTTCAAGAACATCCCGAACGAAGTGATAACGAACGTCAATGTGCTTCGTCCGCGCATGAAAAACCTGATTCTTCGCCAAATAGATAGCACTCATGCTATCACAATGAATGGTGACAGACCTCTGCGATATACCAAGTTCCTCCAAAAGTCCTCGAAGCCAAATAGCCTCCTTCACAGCCTCCGTAACTGCCATATACTCTGCCTCCGTCGTAGACAAAGCCACCGTAGACTGTAAGGTGCATCTCCAACACACCGGCGCACGGGTCAAAGTGAACACATACCCCGTCGTAGACCGGCGCTTATCCAAATCCCCGGCATAATCCGAATCAACATAGCCAATGCATAGCTGCCCACCTGTAGTGTCCATAAACTAAACCAACATTGAGCGTACCTCGAATGTACCTCAAAATCCATCTCACGGCGTCCCAATGACCCACTCCTGGATCGTGCATGTATCTCGATACCATGCTTACCGCCTGTGACAAATCTGACCTCGTACATACTATCGCGTACATCAAGCTCCCAACCACACTCGCATATGGAGTCTTTGACATCAACTCTTTATCTTCAACTGACTTCGGTGAAAGACCAGCTGAAAGCTTCAAATGGGCTCCCAATGGTACACTAACTGGCTTCGTATACATACTAACATGGAATCGCTGTAGAACCTTCTTCAAATAAGCCACATGTGTCAAACAAATTCCGCCCTTCTTCTTGTCTCTGCCGATCTCCATCCCTAGAATGTGCTTCGCCTCACCCAAGTCTTTCATCTCAAACTCATTTGATAGCTGAACTTTCAATTCATCTATAGCCGACCTGGAAATAGAGGTCTTCACATCCAACTGATCTAACTCTAAACCATACTGTGCCACCAAAGCTAGCAAAATCCGAATCGAAGAATGCTTCACCACCGGAGAGAAAACCTCATTATAGTCAATACCTTCCTCCTGTGCATAGCCCTTCGCAACCAACCTAGCTTTGAATCTTAATGGAGTGCTCTCAATGCCCTCCTTCTTTGTGTATACCCACTTGCAACCAATTGCCTTCCGCCCCTTTGGAAGCTCAACAAGCTCCCATGTATCGTTCTTATGAAGAGATTCCATCTCCTCCTGCATAGCCACCTGCCACGAATCAGCCTCCGAACTCTGTTCGGCCTCTCTGAATGTAGTAGGCACCAACTCATCGATACTCTCCACCGGAAGTGCATACGCAACTTTGTCAGCATACCGTGCTGGCATCTGTATGTTTCTCCTCTGTCTCCGAACCGCAATAGAATCCTGATCCTGAGCTGTCGGTTCCTGATCTTGCACATTTGTACTCGTATCCTCCGTGTCACCGTCGTGCTCGTCTGGCGTCACCTTAGTCAGCACCTGCATGGATACTGTACCATCTGGACAATGTGAAGTTGCATCGATCTCCACCACCTGCGATATCTCCTCCGTCGAGTCGCTCTCCACCTGATGAGAGCTGGGAAGCTTCAAGATAGAAGCTTCATCAAACGTGACGTCCCTACTCAGCACAATCTTCTTATCAACTGGATCCCAAAGCTTGTATCCCTTGACACCACGCTTGAATCCTACAAATATGGCCTTCCTAGCTCGAGGTTCCAATTTATCAGTTCTAACATGATAATATGCAGGGCACCCGAATACCTTGAGCTGGTCATAGTCATGTGCTGGCTTTCCCGACCACATCTCCATAGGGGTTTTCCCCTCAATCGTAGATGAATGCAGCCTATTAATGAGGTGGCTCGCATATGTAAGTGCCTCAGCCCACAAGATCTTCTCCAAACCACTCTGCGACAATAAGCATCGGATCTTCTCCAGTAAAGACCAATTTAATCTCTCTGCCACCCCATTCTGCTACGGTGTATGACTAACTATGAAGTGTCTCTCTATGCCCTCGTCTCGACATAGCTGCTGAAAGGGGTCAGAAGTATACTCACCACCGTTGTCAGATCGCAACGTCTTGATCTTTCTCCCAGTCTGCAGTTCCAATCTCTTCTTCCACTCCACAAATAAATCTAGGACTTCACTCTTCTTCGTCATGATGTACACCCAACAACGCCTAGAATAGTCATCTACAAAAGTGACGAACCAATGTCGATCACCAAGTGATGCAGTCTTGGTGGGACCCCAAACGTCTGTGTGCACGTAGTCCAGGATACCCCTCGTCTGATGAATGGCAGTCCCGAACTTCACCTTTGTCTTCTTGCCAAGAACACAATGCTCACAGAACTCAATCTTCCCACTCTTGGCTCCCTTCAATAGCCCCTGCTTGTACAATGCCTGCAGTGACTTTTCACCTATGTGCCCCAACCTATAGTGCCAAAGTCTGCTCATGTCCGCTTCTGAAATAGCCGAAGCAACCTAGCCAATCTCGGTGCTTCCCTTCAGATAATACAAATTAGGATTGCGGACTCCCTTCATCACCACCAATGATCCCTTAGTAATCTTCGCTACAGCGTTTTCGAAAGTCACCTTGAATCCCTTCGCCTCCAAAGCTCCGACTAAGATAAGATTCTTCTTCAGCTGAGGAACGAATCTCACCTCCTTCAATTCACGAACTACTCCATCGTACATCCTAACCCGCACGGTACCTATCCCACAAACGCCACAGGATTGATCATTTCCCATGACAACAACACCCCCGTCGACTTTCTCAAAAGATGCAAACCAGTCTCGCCTAGGGGTCACATGAAAAGTAGCGTCAGAATCAAGCATCCAATCTGATGCATCCACATGGTTCACCTCCGGAGTAATCAATAAAGAAAAGCATGAATCATCGGAATCATCGCCTTTCGTAACGTTCACCTCATTGGCCTTTGGGCCCTTTTTCTTGCCATTCTCCTTCTCCTTGAGCTTCGGGCAGTCTCTCTTCCAATGTCTCTGCTCCTTACAGAATGCAAATTGGTTCTTTGCTAATTGGTGGCGGCCTCTAGACTTTGACCTCCCTCTATTACCACCTTTCGGATATGGGCTTCTAGCTAGCACGGGAAGTCTCCTTATCCTTCCTCCTCAAATCATAATTGGTCAAAGCGTTAGTCACTTCACTATAGCTGATAGAAGATCTCCCGTTCAACAAAGTGAGCACGAAGGTATCATACTCCTCATCGGGTAAGGAGCCCAACAAAATAATCGCCTTGTACTCATCCGATATCTTCTCATCAATATTTGCTAAGTCCGACAACAACTTAGTGTAGTTGTTCACATGAGCCGCTAGTGAGGTGCCTCTGGACATCTGAAATCTGAAGAGTCTTCGCAGCAAGTGCAACATGTTCTCAACATTCTTCGTGAGATACTTGTTATTGAGAATTTCCCACATCTTCATTGCAGACGTCACCCCAATCACATCATATTTCAGCTCCTGTTCCAAACAGGACCTGATCACCCCACAAGCGTTCATATTCATTTTCTCCCATACCGCCTCATCATATTTAGGTGGTCTCTCATGGACCATGATGGTCTCTTCCAAATTCTGAGCATTGAGCACATCCTGTACGTCGCTTATCCACAAACCAAAGTTGATTTTTCTGTCATACTTCACCACACTAATCTTAGTGTTCTGAAAACCAACTTGTATTGTACTCGCCATTGACTTGCTGCTTTCACCTTCTTCTCCCATTGCAAACTAACTCCAAATTGTAGAGAAAGAACAAATTTGATAGATTTAGGAACCACCCAACTGAACCCTAGGGAAAGCGAAATCTCCAACGGTAACTCCTAATGCTATCTCCACCGAAGCCTAGAACTCCAAGAACCAAGCTTCACACAAAATCTTCCTCCACCAAAAAACCCTAGATCTGAAATCTGGGCTCTGATACCACTTGTTGCGCGTAGTGAAAATTTCGGCAGCACTTCGGCAGCACAACAAGAGAGTCAGGTTGCAATAAGAATTCTTGTTTCTCAAAAAGGAACAAGAATCTGAAGCCTAATATCCCATCAAAGTGGGATATTAGCTCTTCCTCTCGTCAGCTCTAGGACTACGCGTCGAGGGATCCTAAAAAGCTATTACAAATCACACAAAAGCGATACAACCAATTTTACGTGGTTCGGCAAATTGCCTACGTCCACGGGGTAAGGAGGGGGGAGATCTACTAATAGAGGGAGAGAATACAACTAGGGTTTACAATCACTCAATCTAAATCCTCAAACAAACTCTCAAATCCCTCACAAATATCTCTCACAAAAGGATGCAAAAAACCCAACTTTTCTTTTGTCTTTGCACTCCTACAGCCGTCACAAAACTCCGTGTTCACCCTCAAATTCGCACGCGCCTGCAGCTTTTTCTTTTGCTTTTGTTCTGCAGCCTTTTCCCAGCCGCAAAACAACCTCCTGCTAATCAAACCCTATGAATTAACAAGTCTTATATAGGGACATTGGAAGTCGGGTCATGGGCCATCATCACGCGGAAAGAATTAAAACCGCGTTCACCTTTTTTTTTCTTCAAAGCTTGCACGTGGGTGGGGGCCACTGTCCTATCCACGTTCACAGACCCGACATGCACTTGTCATCAACGTCATCATTTTCTCATTGCGTTTTTTCTTTTTTTGATTCATTCCATTGACAGCCATAAAACAAGAACAACCCTTTGTTTAGCTTACATGATTGGTTTATTGAAAACTTACATGATTGGTTACTAGAAAAATAATATTATAAGGGGATTTTTGGTTCAGTTCTAAAAAAATCTGAACCTAAATACATTTCTTTCCGAAAAGCTCTAAAATGGATTTCCTTAAATTAGAGTTACATCAACCAATGAGAGGGAGCCACCTTAGTTTCCCTTATGGTTTCAAAGAGGATAGTTGTTTGTTTCTTGTTCCAAATTATATATTGTTAATTTATTTGGGTAAGTACATATTCTTAATTTGTTTGGTTGATTAAATCTTTATCGACTTAGTTAAAGTTTCATATCTTTGCCTTTTTACCTCTCGTAATAGATGTCTAAACGCAAAGCACGCAAATCAGTTCCCAAACCATATGAGTTTTAAAAATTTACTAATGACAATAAAATTATTAAAAATTCATCATGTGACGATGAAGGTGATAAAAAAAGATGATAAATGAGGGTCACTCAACCAACAAGCAAGCAATTGTTACTTCAAATCGACTTTATGACGATGAAAAAGAACCATCGATTGAGGTGTATTATGATGATGAGAAGAGCTCTTATGAAGTTAACAAAAAAAATGAAGGTTGAGGATTCAGATCCTGATTATGTCCCTAGCGAAAATGTTCCTACTACTGCTCAAGTCAATGTTTCTTTTGCTGCTAATATCAAAGACGAAGAAGAAGCATATAAATTATTTACTGAAGCTATGGGCATTCTGGTAGCTATCTGGAAATTTCATCAGGAGAAAAAAATGAGTTGAGATGTCTTAGTCTTAGAAGAATAAATGTCAAGTCAATAAAATAAATTTAGGTCTACGAGTTTGTGAATCTTATTGTTGGAAGTTTTAATCAGCTTAGATAATGTGACAAAGAACTTATGTTTAGATCTTTACGTTTCTTTAACATCGACTTTATGAATGATATGTTTTTGTGTGTTAAATATGATATAGTTTTCAAATTTATTACTTCATTTTCAAAGCTTCACAATTTTTTGTGTCGTTGTCTGTCCAATTTTAAATTTATATAATGGAACAAGCTCTTGTTGCCTTTTTATATTAGTATGCATATACCCTTGATTTATCAAACCAAATACTATTTACAAGAGCAAATTCGCTTTTGCGTAAGTGTTTGGGTGATGAAACCAAAACTTACTTCTAACACTATTTATGTCTTTGAATCTTTTAAGTCAAGATCTGTTTTTTGGAAAACCTTGTTTTATAATGTAAAAACATGATATTTATGTGCAGTTACTTTTGTCTCTACTAAAAATTTACAATCCTTTTTATTTATGCAAATAGGCCACCAGTCATCATCCATAATTGTGTGTCAATCACATATAGCTAAGTTATCCCCACAAATCTTCTGCCCAATTGTCTCAACCAGAAAATTGCAGTTTCAAAGTGAAGAACTCTTACTCAGTTAGTTGTTTAGGTTCTGAAATTTAAAACATTTTTATACACACATAACAACATCAAGAATAGTGCATTTGGTCATAAAATTAATGCTTGTTTTGACCCATCAGCTTATATCGGCTTAGGATGTTTGCTGATATTCTTTTTCATTTAATAGGAGGGAAAAGTGTAAACGTACTGAAATTGGAAGAGTGCAGAGCCTATTTGAGAAAACATAAGCTTCGGATAACTGGTACCGAAAAAACATCTATCACGAGGATTCTGGAGCACTGCAGGTCAGTCATTCGCTATGGAATTTGACTAGATTTTTATCAATGTACATTTTCTTTTCAAAAGTAATGCTTTATATAGTTTGTATAGTATTACAACAATAGTTTTATTAGTGGTGCAATTACTATGTTGACTTATTCATATCTCACATTTCAAAAGACTGATAATGTATCGTCTGATCGAGTTCTGGGAATGTGATGTATATGTCGTTTGATTTAAATCAGCATTGTGTGTTCTATATATATATATTGCTGACATATGTGTTACATAAAGGTATCTACATTAATAAAAACTAAAATGGATCATTATGTTACAAGCCTTCTTCGATTCCAGGTTTCTCTGAACCAAAGCGGTCCAAATGTATGTACTAATGCCTACTCAAGTTTATAAGTTGTATATTTAAACTTAAAATTTGTGCAATTATATTTACTCACTAAATTGTAGACATGAACATAACACTTCTAAAGAATATATATAGTTCATTTTGCAAGCATATCTCCAAATTAAAGTCTGTAAAATATTTTGTTTAAATGAATCTTATGGAAAGAATTTATTTGTAAAATGATTATATTTAATTAATATTTTGTGTTGTATCAACCTCGAGTCAGGGCATGACTAATTATATATCATTATTAATTACTATTATCTATCATTATTGCAAATGTTCCCCCCAATGCCCCAGAAAATTTCATTAACTGATATATTGCTTAAATCTAAAAGATCAAGTCCCTTGCACCATTTTATTCAATGTATATTCATTCGGTTGGAGGTTGTTGGGTCTTGTTGTCCCCACTTCGATTTAAAAGCGTTCAATAGTTAGCAAGTTGTAAAACTTCTTTCTAAACTCTATACTTTTTGTTGAGGTTGTTTTCTATTCTGCAATTTTCTTGTTTGTGACATGTGATTAGTGCTCTTTTTATGTTTAATAATTTCTTTGTTTCTATTATGGTGACTATCTTACTTGTGAGCTCAGTTTTGTATTATTTTTTTGCATGTTCAAGTCATTGTATCCTAGGGGTATTGTCTCCTGAATCTTCATCAAAATACAAACAATTAAGACTTACTATTACTTTTCTTAATTTCCTGAGACCATAAGTTTGATTGTGGGCCCGTAGGATTCTACTTAGATTCATAATACATCTATGCAATATTTCCTTCCTCGAGACTAAATCCTCTTGATGAACCTTAGGTTAGGAGTTTTGCTATTTGGCACGCAAAACCCATCGCGCAACCATCTCGCGCAGGAGAAATAGGGGGGTGTGACCCACAGCAAGAAATTGGTCCCACCCCCTATTTCTCCTGCGTGAGATGGCTCCGCGATGGGTTTTTGCATGCCAAATAGACTTTTTGTTAGGCAAGTGGTCACTGAATGTAAGTTTTTTTGAGAAGGGCAAAAACTTTGGGATAATTATTTTACTGGATAACTTGGATATAAGCTTATTTCAGATGGGGTTATAATAGTTGCTGTAGGAGTGGCCTCATGCAACAAGAGTGAACTTAAAATGCTCCGCTGAAATTGGTTAGTTGGTAGAATTTAGGGTTTACTTTCTCTGTTTCTATTAGTAATTGCTATGTGTATTGAAATATGTAATACAGGATTTCTTGGGGAATAAGTAGAACATGATAGGTAAAGTTACTGTTGTAACGAGCAAAATGCTATTGAATTTTAAACTGTACCCCTGTAAGCTTGTTCAGTAATAACTGTTCATTCCGCAATCAACCTGTTATGTTCTGTATGATAAGTAATTTCAATTACACTTTGCAATCGTTAAATGACACAGGAGTTTTGAAATTATTATATTTCTTCTCATAAAGCAAAGTAACTACTAACAATATATACAAATTGTTTATGCAGAGGAGGTTTAGAATCTTTCACAACCTGAGCTAGAGTGTACAACAAGTTAGATAGGACAATTCCTGGTTTCAGTAAAGTAATGAAGAAAGTGCGAGCTGATACAGCTGCAAATGATGCAAGGCGCAAGGAGAGGAGGGCTGCACAGAAAAAGGCTGAGGCTGCTCTCTTTGGCCGTAGAGTGTCACCTGATCCGTAGAAAAGGTACAAATCTTTGACCTGTGCTTTGCTGGATAATATTCCATAGCCATTGAGATGGAGAAAACTCAATAAGAAACTGTGCATAATATAGAGTTCATAAATGGACAAATTTTTTAAGAACACTCATTTTTAAAATTTATATAGCAAAATCAACCGTTTCTTAAAAAAATTAGCAAAACCGACCCTTTTCAGATAAAAAGGAAAAAAGGGTCGGTTTTGCTTCAGAAGATTTTTTTTTCGAACTGCACGAGAGTAGCAGTCCTGTGCATAAATTTGTCCAAAAAAAATCCAAATGATTCCTCATAGTCTTCTTTGATCCTCACTCCCCTTGACGACGCACTGAAACTCCAACGCCATGAGCAGGAGACAACGATCTCTCCTCATCAGAACCCTCCTCTTCCTCTTCATCCTCAACGCCATCTTCTTCTCAATCTACCTCCTCAGCTCCCCATCCCCCGAAGTTTGCATGTTCACCATTCAAAGTGTAAATTTGCTGATGGAATCAATATGTGGTGAGGCTGATGCTCAAGATACTGCTACTAGAACTCAGCCAGTCATTAGATACACAGAACGTGATTATTATCTCCTTTTTTCAATTTCTATGTACCTTCCCTTTCTGATTAATTATTATTTCTTGTATTGTTTGCAGTTTTTTTTTATATTCAAGGATTTATATATATATTCTTCTTCATAGAAACATTTAAAAGAATCTCTAATGTTTGGTCCAAACTCTCTGTGTCACAGAACATAAAATTTGTTGTTCGTGCACATCCAACCTAAATCTGAAGTCCTCGATGAGCTCTTCAAATCCGCCAAGCTATTTCACAAAGTTATCTGAATATATTGCGGTTATCATCAACCATATGCATGTTTTACTGTTTACATCATGGGGTGAGAATTAGAACAACCTCAATTATGATGTTACCCTTAAATTTTTAGTTGTGTCATTGAGCATTGTTTACATGAAAATCTTAAAGGGCAAAGAAGTAATTATAAATTACTATTATCAGTGTCTCCCCCTAACTACAATATCTTTTGCTGTGACGGGATATGCTTAATTAACGGTATCAAGGTCTGTGAGAGGACATGATTGAGGCGCTATAAATTCTACAACTTTGGAGACAAACGTATTTACTTCCTTCCATAGTTATCTATGTGGAGATGTGCCACTTTACTTGGTTTCCAAATATTTAGTTGTGTGTTGATAGATCTCTTGAGAACTTCAGGTGAAAATGCGTGTACTTTTAATTAATCAAGAAAAGTTTGAAACATGCATCATAACTTTTGAGGGAACACCCACTTGATATTACTCTAAAACATGCATGAAGTTTCAATTACTCATTGAATATTATCTGCACTGTTAATGTAGATACTGTTGGCCTTCTTGTTTTTATGATGTTTAACAAACAATTTACAACTAATGTTGTTTGTCTAGTATTCGTGTTTTCTTATTTATTGTAGACAAACAATAAGTTGGAGGATGGATGGAATAGCGCTTCAACGATCATATCCAAAGGAGGTTGGCGGAATGTCGGTGAAGCCTTGCAATTCAAAGTTAAAGATCAAGTTCAAGCTTCATCCGCAAGTGTACCAAGTCAAGCTCAATGAAGATCAAGATCAAGCTTGGGTAATTTAGTTTAGGATTTATATTATGTGTGTTAAGTACGTTAAGCTCAATATCTATACACACACATTTATTGGTTTCTTCGTATATATATATATAGTTATATATATATACATAAGTTTTGGTTTCTATGCATATATATAGTTTTATATATATACATGTATGGTATTGGGTTTTCATGTTTATAATATGAAATCACATATTTCATATTTATTATTGTGATTTGGTTTAACTACTTAGATATGAAACAAATATATTTTCATATACATACTCCTATGTTTCATTCTCTAATGTATTTGTGAAAATATCATATTCTTAGTTTTTGGACTTAACAATAATCATATACATATTTTATTAAGTCTACAAAATCTTTGTGCAGAGTTTCAAAACATGGTTTAGCCTAAATGTCAAAATTCATATGTTTACATTTTCGTGTTTTGGACTATTTTGCAAAATGATGATATTTTTCATTTGGGAAGTCTTTTTTGGAAACCAATCATTGTAGCATGTTTATCATCATGTCTACAATCATTTCCCAAAGTTTTATATTTTTTGGAATTTATTTGATATTTTTAAACAGTGTTTTAAAATTAGGAAATCAGATTTTCATGTATCAGTTTTCGGTCGATCGATCCGGTCGACCGCTCATATGTTCAGCCCTCAGTGAGCAGCAGAGAGTCTGTCGGTCGACCGGTCCGGTCGATCGAAATCTCCATCGGTCGACCGCAGGAATTTCCGGTCGACCGCCAATATATCCGTTGGTTCCCAACGGCTATTTTTCTGAGTTGATTTTCTGGGGCTGTTTTTTGTCTTTTGCTTAGGGTTGTTGGCTGAGATTTTGGAGGTTATAAATACCCTCTTTGATCTCAGTTCAAACGAAGCTAAGAAGTTTTTAAAGAAGTTTTTAAACAAGGGTTTAAGCTTGTTTAGTTTGGTTTAAGTTTGGTTTGGGTTTGCTGTTACAAAAGAGGAGTTTACATCAGCTATTGAAGAGTTCATCTTCAACATTTTTCATCATCTCTTTGTGTTTTTAGAGAAATTTCCTTAACTCTATTTCCTAGCATTTCTACTATTGTATTTCATATCAATCTTATTGCTAGTTCTTATTGAGTTAAGTTTTTATTGAATCTCATTGTTACACACACCCACTTGAGCTTATTGTATTTGTATACATAATATATTAGGGTTGTGAGAGATTGTAACATTGAGTTGTGCTTAATTGAGTTCTCATCTATTATAGAGAACAAATTTATATTTGTTACATTGTGAGATTGTAAGGTTTTCGGTGAGCTAAAAAACCGAGTGTGTTGTGAAGTTTTCGGTGAACTAGAAAACCGAGTGTGAGGAGTGAACGTTGTTCGGTGAGCGTTGAAAACCGACATAGTGTGGTTGTAAACGTTATTCGGGTGAGCGTAGAAAACCCGGTTGTGATAGTGGATTTCTCTCCTGGAGTGGGGAGCGGAGACGTAGGACGGAAGGTCCGAACTCCGTGATCATATCTTGTGTTTGAGTGTGCTTTGGCGTTTATTTATACTTGTGTTTATATTTCTTGTCGTCATTGTCATTAGCTCATTATTTATATGATCCACTATCTAGTTCATATTGTTTACCCCTTATGTTAGTTTATATATCCTTGCATATATATATTCATCATATAGGATATATCTCATTGTTCATATTGCTTATCCTAGCTTATATAGTTGTTATATTTCATACTTGCTAGGATAACTTGTTAATTAGTTTTTATTGGCATATAATCGGATTAGATTAGCATAAGACCCTAATCACCCCCCATCTAGGGTCTAACAGATACTAGGTTTCATACTTTTTTGAGCTTTTCACAAGAATGTATTGATGGTAATGAGTAATAATACTTGCTCCTTTTTTGTTTTGTTTACCTTGTCCTAATTTGGTAAGATGAGAGTCCGAACTAAACCGAAGCAAATCATAATGCAAGCTCGAATGGATAAAAATTCATCCAAACAAAAATTGCACATGTATTTTCTTGTTACTTTATCCGGTTTCAATTAATGACTCGCTGAAGATTGTAGACTAACATACATACTTGATGCTGCAGCTCATCAATGAGAAGCCTCAAGTGATTCAAGAGTAAGCGTCAAGAAAGGCAATTTCAAATCAGCAAATAATTACCAAACTGGAGAGGGTCTTGGGAGTAAAATTGAGAGGAAATAAATAATTTGCCTTGTACAAAATTTGTAACTTATGGAACTTTGACATATGCAGCAAATGGTTCTATTTTGATTTTGAGCACCTTGAACTGATGATAGTGTATATGAAGTGTGAAGCTGGTTCTGTGTCTTTTTACATGAGATGAGCTTGTTGCTTGTGTTGCATCGTTTTCTCCTTTGTTGCGCTGCTTTCTTGTGTCTAATGAATGTGGTTGGTAGAGGCTTTTGTGTGCTTTTCTCTGTTGTTGCCTTAGAAATTTTAGATTAATTGTTTATATTTGCTGGCGAATGTCCTGTCTCTTTGAGTTTTGACAAGTTGGCTTTTAAATTGTTGTAGGGTTCATAATTTGAGTGGAAATTACTTTGCTTTCAAATATTTATGCTCATGTAGTTTCTTAATATGCATCACGTGCAACGCACGTATGACATACTAGTAATAATAAGTGAATCTACTTATAAGTGACAAAAAAGTTAGAGAATCACATCTTATTTTTTTCTTATGTAAAGTTAAAAATAAGTAATATAAATAAACTCTCAACCACTTAAAAGTAAAAAAAGATACTTGTAAGTGAAAATTAGTAACTTGCCAAACATGCTATATGGAAAAGACCTTTTTAATTCCGAAATTAGTAAACTTCTCATTTTGAAAGATTGTAACACTTTTTGCCCCTTCTTTTATGGAATTATTGTGCATGTTTTAAGAGAATTTTTGTAGTGTCACTTGTCACTTGTGGAAGTTTACCCCCCCCCCCCCCTTTTAATCTATTATCAAACAACTTTGAGTAAATTAAGTAATAACTAAAATCGGCAGTAGAGTTTAACCATGAATGGGCCAACTAAACACTATACTAAATTGATTTCGCCTTTAGTCCTAATATATATTTAGGGCGCATACTCTGCGCAGAAAGAGCGTCCGAAGCTTTATTCTCAACCGCATCTCACGAGACCTACATCAGTTTTGGATCCCCCCCCCCCCACCCCCACCCCACTTTTAATCTATTATCAAACAACTTTGAGTAAATTAAGTAATAACTAAAATCAGAGTAGAGTTTAACACAACGAATGGGCAATTAACACATATACTAAATTGATTTCTCGCTTTAGTTTCGTGAATATATATTTAGGGTGCGATACTCTCGGCACCAGGAAGAGCTGCTCGCGCAGCTTCTTTCTCCAACCGCATCTCCACCCATTCGGAGACCAGTACATCAGTTTTGGATCCCCCCCCCCTCGCACTAGCCAAGGTAAGTAGGAGGCTACTGGTTGTTATTCCCTGTTTATATGAAGTGGACCAGTTGGTAATTTGTCTTCCAAAGCTATTTGGCTCGCGCGGCGGCACTTGCGCCAACTCGCAGTTGGCCCCCCGCGAGCCAAATAGCAATGCCCTTTGTCTTAGATGCAAATCAGGAACGAGCGCTATATTCTATGAATGATACTATCGTATAATATAGCATCTATGAGTATATCATGCTTGGAAGACAAGCAGCATGAATTACTTGATTTGCTTTTAGGGTTTGGTACCCACTCGTGGTTATTTCCTATAGCCAAAACTCTAGAAATCGTTGGTAAGGCTGAACCCACTACTCAGCTGATAAATATTTTTCATTATGATCTTTGTTGACTACTCACTGTAAAAATAAGAAATGGGTTTATAACTTTACTTCATGCCTGTGAATCACCTTCAGTACTGCTCAAATGAGACTACGAATTAATTTTCACCTGAAATGTTAAAAAAACATTAGAATAAATCCAAACCTATTTCTACCCTACATAATTCACCCAGAAGACGAGAGTTACAAAACTTCCATTGAAATTTGATTCAAGTGGTTTTAATTTCAGTCCCGACAAATGACATTAGCCTCGTCGGTGCTTGTCAGAAAGTTCAATCGCCATTTAGTTGCTGCAGGAAAGCACTGTGAACGATTCAAAATCTCTTTTTCTGTTGGCATAAACGAATATTGAAGCCTGCAATGGTATACAAAGCTGGTACATCAAGCATACAGAAAGCAGAATATTTTCAATATATTTCATTGAATGAGAAGCTACAGAATCCTCTCTGTACAACATTGTGCCTACGAAAGATACACTGGCCAAAAAATACCACAAACAAAATCACACTCTTCTCACCAATAATAAGACCCACGTTGAACAAATAACTACAACCCAGGGAATACACAAATGAGTGAAATCCCTAAATCCCTATCCCTGACATATGTTAATCATGAGAATAATGCTGTTACAAAATAGAAACCAGCACCCAAACGTTTACGATAGGGGGATAAAGAAAAACAAACAGTCCAAGCACATACTACAAGGGAAAGCAATGATGATATTTGTCTAAAGCTTGATTATTAGCCCCTATGCTGTATATATGCGACAAAAAATTATATACCAGCTTGAAACCGCAGCAAACCTTCATGGATTTTGTAGAAAATATCCGTGACAAAACGAAGTTTTTCTCTTCAGAGCACGGCTTATGATTTGGGCACCAGGATCTTAAGCAAAGTAGTCTTGTCGTACCACAGTAACAAACTCAGGAGATAACAGATCCTCCTCTTTGTGCTTTCCCATTTCTCCGTTCCCTTGGATGCGCCAAAATATTTTCGGAGAAAGTGGTGTATAATCTGCATATTTGCAATAAGTCTGGCAATGTAAGAATCACATCATAATCAAATCATGACAAAAGTGCTGACAGCACATGAACTCTTTTGAAATTGTGAATAATTTCACACTGAAACTGTATTATGATAGCCTCTATTATCTTGCAGCTTTATGCAACAGGTTCACGTATTAACCCCACCCCCTTCACACACACACACACACACACACACACACGCACACACAAAAACCAAACAAAATAATACACGGTTATCCTGAGATCGATGCTTTGCCTGGATGCAGAAGTGTTTCAATCAAGACGGTGTATCTGACACAACATAAATACATGCTACCTACGTAAAAAATCAGATAGTACTTGTTAATACATAAATAAAGAAAGTGCATCAACCTAACAAGTAGTCTCAGAAGCAATCTCCTGCTATGGATACTCTAATTACATGGAAATAAAATATTAATATATTATATAATTTTCAGGAAAATCAGAAAGAAAACTTAGCTTGAAGTTTACTTCTTCCTAACTGATATTACTATTATCAGGAAGGAAGTTACTAGCCTCTCCTATCCAATTTTCGATCACCCTAAAGCTGACTACCAAAATTAACCAAGTATAAATTTTAAATAAATACATCAAATACATAAACTGATGATACACCAACAAGAATACCAACAAACATTATCCGCTAAAGAACCTAAATTAGAAAATGAACTCGACTATTCCAACAATTAACAATATAAGACCTATAGTAGAAGTCCTAAATAATTGAGAAACATAACTTAAAGCAATTAATCTTAATGTAAAGTTGGTGCTACATTTACAAGAACCCGTGAAAGAAACCACCAAAAATAGTTGTGAAATGCAGCAAGGCGCAAGTCATTTGACAAAATACGGTACGATGTGCTCCTCCCTAACCTGATCCACCAAACACCTCATGCTCGCTGCTGGAGCAACATCAAATCATCCATCATCACTAGACCATATAGACTTGATCAAACCGAAACCAGGAGCCATTTTTAACAGCTCCATTATAACAAATTAACTCAAACACCGAACTGATTTGACTAGATAAGATTCATCCACACCGTGATGTAACTTTGAGGAAAAAAAGTGAGATGAACAACTAAAAGAAAAAACTTGAACTCTGTCACGTAACACATTCTTCTTAAGTACAAACCCTCCTTTCTCCCGCACACGAGAGAGGGATTTGCATCTATCACTTCCTAAAGTATATAGATAATTTTCCCTAAAATAGAAAAGCATAATATTTTGAGAGGTGTTGCTTGTCCTGAAAGGCCAGAAAATGATATGTTGATGATTTTGACTTTTAGGCTTCTAGAAAAATGCATCCAATGATTCGAAGGCATATACCTGTATTTGGAGGTGGATCTGGTTCTCTTGTTGAATGTAATACAGTAGTTCCAGAAAGTATGGTAATGAATCCACAGATCTCGGATGCGATGCTACTAGCACTCTGGCCAGACCAATCCTAATAGTTGATTAAAAGTAGTTAATAATTTCAAAGTAGAGGGGAAAAAATGACACTTATGCAGGCATTTTAATATACCTTGAACATTATGGCACTTGCTAATATTGTCAGTGAGGTGAACATGGCATAATAGATGGGAGAAACTACAGCTGTGTTGAAAGTGTCCAATGCCTGAAAGAGAAATTTCAGGATCAGGCATGTAAATTATGAATAAAATGACAACAGATGTATCTCTTCAAAAGGAGACTCTTATCTCTAATTTGAAGCGAATAATGCTTTACAGTTTAAGTAAAGTATGGTGAAAACAAAGGAAACATTCTATTTTCTGCAAATGCTACGAAATACATCAATGAAAATGAAATTGTGATACTGTTTAATTTTTTCATGTATGTATCCTGCTCAAATCCGATTTTCTGTGAAGATTTGATAGATGATGTCTTTTCTATTGAAGTCCTGCTCTTCCCTTGTTAGTCTTTTTGGCTGCAATTGTGAGTTCTTTCCCTTCTTTTTCTCTATTACTTTCTCTTTTCCATTTGCATATTCTGTTATTTCTTCCTTCCTTTCCTCCCTTATTTTTTTTTTGTCTCCTTGTTTTGCTCTTTGTCTTCACTCATTTTGCTGCAGCTATTTTTCTCTCCCTGTTTTCTGTCAGCTCCCAAATTCCTTTGCAATTTATTCTGCTCCTACTGATTTTCTACAGTTTTTAATTAATATTTGTGTCATATATACACAATTCTCTATATGTGATTCAACAAAATTTTAGATTGAAATTGCGAACTGTGATTTGAGATGTGATTTTGCATTCTGGAATGTTTAAATTTTCAAAATAGAAAAGAGTATCCTGCTGTCCTGCTTCGTACAGCCACACACCTGTTCTTGTGCCTCAAGCCTTCAGCAGCCAAAGAAAACACGCTATCGCAATAGGATGCAAGTGTTTAAAGCGCAATACAATGCAGCGTGAACGAGACTATAAGATAGTCAGTGGGCCAGTAACCATAATCCTGGTAGCTCAAGATGATCCTCCAGGCTACAAGCTTTAATGTTCAACTCTAACTTGTCTACTTCTCAAATAAAAGAACTGGCCTATGTGGTAAATTATGAATTGCAGCTAGCCAAGATACTTGATCCTACATGTGTCCTTTTCCTTGGCATTTGCTCCAGAAAAAAACCAACAGAAGGAAAAAGGCAAGTAAAACAACAGAACAATTGCAAGATAAGGAGATTGATCTAAAAAAGAGTGCAACAAAAATCTAATCTAAATGTAGAAATGCAGTTTCATATATAAACTTTCACATTAGAGAGGACATTTCTGATAAGCCTGGTGTTGTCTAGCTGGACTCGAGATCAAATGGCTAAAAGATAATAAGAACAAAAGACAAGAGAGTACAACATTTTGTAACAAATTCTCCAACTGGAGATGGTAACACAAAACTCAGCCATAATGACGAATACATAACCAAATATCAAGTCATCAGGTCATGCCAACAGGAAGTAAAATAACAAGGTTAAACTAGCAAGGAGAATTATCAAGAATTGGTGAAAACTATCTAATACCAAGCATTAACTACAAGGTGAATAATGCACCCAGAATTTTCAACATTTGAACAGAGATGTGTGGTTCCGCCAAGATAAAATTTGGACAGAGATGGTGTTGGACCAGTTTGGTAATGATTGAGTTCTCAACTAATGCTTGCAAAAGGAGCATGTAGTTTGTATCTGACAGCTAGAGAGCACCACATATTTCCTCACATCTACCCATCAGCACATTTGGGAATTAAACTTATTGGAACTATCAAGAGCAATAAACTGAACATGATAATGACTTGCAAACCACAAGTAAATTACATTTTCTAACGAACATGCCAATTAAGCAAAAAATATAAAGTCGCAACCAGAAAAAAAAAATTTCAGACACGAGTTCGACAAAAAATTACACTGAGGTAAATGAACAGTGGGTGACGTGACAACACCGTGAGCTCCATGTTTTTTCTTTAAAGGTCGGCTTTTCATTGAATACAATACTGAAGTATATAAAACGTTTCCACATGCAATATGAAGTCCATTTGCCAGTAACCTGTCAATATTTGTCCTAAAAGTTTGTCAATAAGTCTCTTCTAATTTTCAATTTTGCAAACACTTGTCAACCATGTCCACAAAACATTTGAAGATGGATGTTTTATTACATTATGAGGGAATATTAGAATATCATTTCTTTATAATGTTTTGTCATGATTATTTAGAGGCTATTAAACGAAAATAATTAGCAGTAAAGATCCTGTTCTGGTGCAGAATAACAAAACAACAAATTTAAGGTCCAGATAGATGCTTGTTCATTTAGAAAATTAACAACATAAAAATTGGACAGTATATGGTGCAAATATATACTCCTAACGCAACAAATAGTGTCTAAGTAACGAGACTTGTTTATTGAAAAACATCTGAATGGAATGGACTGCACAACATCTGGCTCAGGTTTATTGGTAAAATTGAGTATCTACAGTCTTCAGATAACTCCCTCGAAAAAGAGAAAAGACGAAACAATAAAAAATGTGTACTTTCAGGCTTTCAGCTTTACTGACAGATTGAGAATCAACCTGCTTCTGATCTTTGAAGTAAATGGGAATGGTTAGTAATGAAACCTCACACTGATCCAACATAAGATTCTCACTATAGACTCTTTCATTTGCAGCCAGAAGAAAATTGTGTTTGCACAAGACAAAGACAAAAAAAAAACCTGCACTCATGCTCACCGATCATGGACTAACCTAGTTATAATAAACAATAACTATAGTCTACATAAAGTATACGGTAAAACTGCAGATATCCTCCCTTATATATATGCTTGTGTAGCACTTACCATTCCCCAACTCATTTATTAGCACTTATCAAATCCAATGGCATTTTCAGAAGGATAAAATACAGACGACTCCCTCTTTCCCATGAATTGAGTTGATGGATGGCACTTATCGTACACACGCATTCATTGTTCATGGATGAACCTAGTTATAATAAACAATAACTAAATTTCTTTACATAAAGATTTTCTTTATTGGCCCAACAAATTAGATGGCTGCTACTAATTCGTGAAACCTTTTGGCTATTACTAGATGCATGAAACCTTTTGCAAATATCACTAAAAAATTTCTATATTGGCCCTGCCAATTAGAGAGATAAGGGAGGACCGGAGGACAATCGCACTCCCTCCCTCTCGCCCCATCCAGTTCCTTCCTTTCTTTTCTTCTCCCTTATCCTTTCTAATATTTCTTTTGCCTCATGGTGATACCACTGACAAAACCAATTTCTCCTTCCTAATCTTCTTGAATACTATTTTCTTCTCATTCTTATCCATATTTTTCTTCCTTCCTTTCCTTTCCCTCAATATGACAGAATCCACCCTAGTTGTCATCATACAATCAAGCAGGGATCGCATAGAGCTCAAATTGGTCTTGGGTAAGAGGGGTCTGAGGTCTGGTTGGCTTACTTTCCTTCAAACCTGCATGACCAAATTCATAACCACTACTCATTTTTTCTTGCTAAAAAAATCCATCTCGTGTTAGTTGGAGGGTTTTAAATCTTCACCTTATAGATCCATTTGTTTTTGTTCCAAGACAAATGTAGCAGCCCTAATTGTAAGGTTCAGTTATATTTATTATTTATACATTTACATAAGCATACATCTTTTTACATGAAGTATATACATTGACATGTACAATCCCAACATATAGGGAAAAAATTTGACGATATACTTCTCAAGTATCATTTAGTCAAATTTTCAACAAAATCTATATTCCCTAGACCATCTGAGAAACAATATTATGCCATCTAGGAGGATCCCAATAATTTAAAAAACTGTCTGTTACATGCTAAAACTAAATGGAATTAATAAACATTGATTCAAGCCATTACCTTGTTCAAGTAAATCAACTGAGTAATGATACAGGAGACGGAAACCATTGCAAACACCCATGTCTGGATATAGCCAGCCTGGTTGAATCCCTCTATAGTAAGCTTAATGGCAATTCCTACGGCCTTTATACTCATCACCTGTTCATCACTCAGGAAAATGGATATAAGGAAATACAAATGATATACTATAAACTGATATTTTAAGGAACAATATCACCCAGTGCTTACCGTCAATGAACCGAATAAAGAACAAATCCCCAAGTAAACCATTATGTTTGTAGTACCATACCGAGGGGAGCAATGCAAAATCAGTACCAAAGACACCGCAATTGCTGCCGATGCATAGAAAAGAAAGGCTAGAAACAGAGAGCAGACACTTAGAACAATTAGCATCCCTAAAAGAACACGAGAAAGGAAAACTCATAGTACGTCTATTGAAAGAATTCTAAAAAAGATTACCAGGTTGAGTTGCCAATTTCCATATCTGCTCTACAGACTCTGGCGTCCGCTCCTCCGGTGCATGAAGCACAATTACAGTGGACCCAACAATACAAAGTATACACCCTAGAACTCCCATCTTCTGCAGCTTCTCCCTAAGTATAAAATGTGCCAAAACAGCACTGCCACAAAATAATCTTTCATCAATTAACATGGAAAAAAGGTACAATTAAAAATTGGATCCTCCGATTAAGCATTTAACAGTCACCAGTCACTCAAATTGTCAAATTGCTTATATTGATTTCCAATCAGAATTTCAACTAGAATCCAATTTTGAACCAATTATCCAATTTGGTACATCTTCCAATAAAATTCCAAAATTTGAACAATCAATAGATATAACAGAGTTTAGGTTTTTCTTTTTCTTCACCTGACAATTATACTCAATGCCCCGAGCGGCGTCACGAGAACTGCTGGCGCAAAGATATACGCGACAAAATTCGCTATTTCCCCAACAATCACTGCAAAAAAAAAGATCCCCATTTACAAAAATCAAATTTATTCATCCACAAAACTCACCCAAAAAGTTTTATTTAAAAAAAAAAATCAAAAGAACTCACTCGTGATCATTCCGATCCACCACAGCGGCTCCAAGAGGTAACCGTATCCTCCCGCCCCTAAGACATTCCAAAACAAAAATGAATAAATAAATGAACCAAATAAAACCGATTCAGCACCAAAATTAGGGTTAGGGCTAGGGCTAATGCTCTGGTACCAGCACGTGCGCCGGCGACGCCAGCACGCTTGAGTCCCTTCTTCTTAAAGATGAAGCTAGCTCCGATGAAGGCACTGGAGGCGACGGCGAGGATGAACCCCTTCAGATTGTCCTCGAACGCCGATCCTCCGTTCGCTGATGATGAACCCATCGATCGGACGGCTGGCAGATGCTCATCTATAGACTGTAGAAAGTTTTGATGGCTTTGAGATTTTTTTTTTCTTTTTTTCCTGGTTTTTCGTTTAAATTCCGCTCGAAATCGATAAAGAAGAAAGAAGAAAGCTCGTATCGCAAATCTGAAATAAAGTTGGTGCCTTTTTGCACTTCAGCCACTGTAACAATTCGATATTGCGTATTGCGAGTGTTGGAAATGTTGTTCATGGAAAAGACAATTTTACCAATAGTCCCACATTAGAAGATGATATGAAGTTCAAATAAAATTAAGAGCTTTTATTTGTTGCCTAATTTTATTAATTTGGGGGTGGGGGGGTGAGGGGGTTAATGTTCATCTGATTTTTACTGTTCACGAGGAAAAATCTCTGTTACTGCTTATTAAAAAATAATAATAATTTACTGCAAATTGATTTACTTACTTGTTGTTTATTTGTTAGCTAATAATCTAAATTATTTGCTGTTAAATTAAATAAAAAAATCGGTTACTGTTCACTCACGGGGGTCGCTATTTATTAAATTTTTTGTTGCTTATCCGTACTATTGATTATTTAACTAATTACCTCTAATTACTACAGTAACTGTTGTTTATTTATTTTGTTGATGCTCAATATCAAACAGAATAATCCAGAAGAAGATGGTTGCGGGGTGATGGAGGGTTCGCTCCCTTCTTCAACTTTATGTCTGGTTTTTGAACAAGGGCTTGATGTCCACGCTGCACAGACAAGAAGAACCCGTGAGAGGGCGGGGATTGGTTCCCCCGTTGTTTCTCTGACGATCAAGTTAGTAAAACTCGAGTGGGGAAGGGGAAGGTCAAGAACCGATGTGGTTTTTAAGGTGGCAATGTGCATGCCCCGAGAGATCTACCTAAGCTCCTCTAGGTTGATGAAGAACTATGTGTCCTTTCTCTTTCTTTTTTTGTGTGCCTCCCTCATCCTCTTCCCTCCTCTTTTTTTTCTCTTTTCTTGTTGGGATCAGATAGGTCACCTCTAGCCCAGCCTGGGGAAGCGGTGTTGGAATGCGGGCTAAGAGCCGAGTCACTCCTCGCTTTATAGGTGTCGGCTGGCGACTGGAGGGGAAGCCACTTCAGCTCTGAAGAGGACGTCTCCGCATTTTCTAGGAAGCGACTGAGAGCATGACAGAAGGCATGCTGGCATGTTGAATCATTCATCGCCTTACAGGTATCGGTTGGTGACTGGAGGGAAAGTCACTTTATTATGGAAGAGTGTGTCTTCGTATTTTCTGGGAAGTGATTGAGCTGACAAGTCATGAAGACCTATCAGGCCAAAATCTGGATAAGGCATATCCGAGGTGGACTGAGATGTTGACGGAGAGGCTTGAGGCCGGGGTCAAGTCCTCAACTTAGTCGACAGCAGGGAATGTCCCTTAAATCGTTTCTGAGAATTGCCCGGTGAGTGGGCGAGTACCCTAAGTAGGGTCGTACTCGATGATAGGGTTGACTGATCCCGCCATTCGTGTCGGCATGAAAGAATGTCGACATGTCCGAGTGGTCGGAATTTGATGTCCACGCTGCACAGACAAGAAGAACCCGTGAGAGGGCGGGGATTGGTTCCCCCGTTGTTTCTCTGACGATCAAGTTAGTAAAACTCGAGTGGGGAAGGGGAAGGTCAAGAACCGATGTGGTTTTTAAGGTGGCAATGTGCATGCCCCGAGAGATCTACCTAAGCTCCTCTAGGTTGATGAAGAACTATGTGTCCTTTCTCTTTCTTTTTTTGTGTGCCTCCCTCATCCTCTTCCCTCCTCTTTTTTTTCTCTTTTCTTGTTGGGATCAGATAGGTCACCTCTAGCCCAGCCTGGGGAAGCGGTGTTGGAATGCGGGCTAAGAGCCGAGTCACTCCTCGCTTTATAGGTGTCGGCTGGCGACTGGAGGGGAAGCCACTTCAGCTCTGAAGAGGACGTCTCCGCATTTTCTAGGAAGCGACTGAGAGCATGACAGAAGGCATGCTGGCATGTTGAATCATTCATCGCCTTACAGGTATCGGTTGGTGACTGGAGGGAAAGTCACTTTATTATGGAAGAGTGTGTCTTCGTATTTTCTGGGAAGTGATTGAGCTGACAAGTCATGAAGACCTATCAGGCCAAAATCTGGATAAGGCATATCCGAGGTGGACTGAGATGTTGACGGAGAGGCTTGAGGCCGGGGTCAAGTCCTCAACTTAGTCGACAGCAGGGAATGTCCCTTAAATCGTTTCTGAGAATTGCCCGGTGAGTGGGCGAGTACCCTAAGTAGGGTCGTACTCGATGATAGGGTTGACTGATCCCGCCATTCGTGTCGGCATGAAAGAATGTCGACATGTCCGAGTGGTCGGAATGTCGTCTTGTCCTAATTGGGAACCATCTCTCGAGTCGATATAGAGATGTCGACTCTCATCTAGGAGGTCAGGATCTCTCGTGCCGACCAATATCACCTTTCATGTTGACCCCAAAGTATCAGCTTGATGAGTCGGTGGGGCCGAGACCTCTATGATTGTGCCTTGGGTTTATCCCTGATAAGGTACCAAGGTCTTGTAATTAGTCATGATGGTCCAGTTAGTAAAACCCCGTAATTTTGAATGTTGTGAGATATAATAATAAACATGTTATATTATGATAAATAACGTTTATTGATATTTGAGTATACTAGGAATTGATTTGAGATCAATTCGATACATATACATGAATATATGAGTGCAAATGCACAAAACATGCACGAGAAAAATCTGGGAAAAATGACCAGTTAAGAGTTTATAGCTTTTACACAATGATGTACTTAGAATCTGAGAAAACTCAAAAGACCAAAGTTGTAGGTCTTTTCAACAGCTTTCCAACAAATCTTTAATCACCTCATTCTGAGGTCAGATGAGAAAGTTATCGCCAAAATACTATGTACAAATTTCAGAAACCTGTGTATTACTTAGTAGTCGACTACTATGCTTAGTAGTCGACTATCGGGAATTTCTGGACGTGCCACGTTTCAGTTTTCGGGTTGGATTTGTATTGTATCCTAACCCAGTTGTTACCCTAAGTATATATATATATATATATATATTCGTTTTAAAGCTCTTTTTACCCTATTTCATGTGAGATTATCACCAGTCACCTTCCTCCTCAAACCCTAACCCTAAACTGAGAATTTTGGGAGTGTTCTTGAGAACTTTGTTGAGAAGAAGGCGAGTTTTGGCATTTTGGAGAAGAAAGATCTTTCGTGCACGTGGTTGAGGAGTCCAACAACACCTTAAGGCAAGGTTATCTTCTTCCAAACTCATCCCCATAGTTAAATAACTAGATTAGAAGTTAAATATTGTTGTTTATGTGCATGATCTTAATATGAGATATAAAAAGATTAGAATTTTTTATGTTATTTCATAAACCCATGGTAGATCTATACTTGTTTTTCTTGCTGTTGTATATAGTTTGTGACATAATCATTGTGATACTTTTAGTTTCACTTTTAATCCGTTAATCATGTTTAGATCATGCCTAAACCCTAGATATGCAATTAATTGAATGTACATGATGTTTAAAGAAGTTTAACCCTAGACTTGTGACATCTAGGTTTTGTAAAATCAGAATTCGAAACAAGATTAATCTCTGTTCATATGTAGATTTTAAATCATGTTATTATTATCATATTGTTTACATATTGACCAATTGAAAAAATGATTAATTTTGATGTAAAACCCTAACTAGACAAATTTATACTTTGTTGTCATGCTCAGAATAGTTATTACTGTATGTTTAACAAGTTTAAATCATGTAAATATGAAGTGATGTTTAACAAGTTTAAATCATGTAAATATGAAGTGATAAGTGTATGTTAAGTTAATTTCATGTTTGTGCACGTCAGTATTCATGTTTTCACAGTGTAGTCGACTACTAAGCATAGTAGTCGACTACTCTGTCAAACCTTCAAAACACAGAAAACTGAGTTATAGCAGAGTAGTCGACTATTGACCCTAATAGTCGACTACTAACAGTAAATTTGTTGTCACAGAGTCTGGATTGACTAAGAGTAGCCGACTACTAATCCTTGTAGTCGACTACAAAGGCTGTTTTTCCTGAATTTTTTTTATGTCTACTTAAGATGTGATCGCGGACTTCGAGCCATACTTCTTTACACATATTTTTACGAATAGTGCATTAGTACACACTTGGGGTTTCTGAGAGGGTAATTAAGAACCAATTACTTTGAGAAAGAGTTTAGAATATACTATACACACACCTTCTGGATATCGTTGATGAGCTTAGTTCAGTACTACGGGGGTAGTGCGTCAATATTCCATTTGTGCAGGCCATTGAGTCGGGTTTAGATGCTTTATTTAGCAGTCCGTCCACACGAGGGTACGATGAGGCTTGTGAGCCGTACTTCTAGAATACCTATATGGTAGGCCGTTCCGCACTCATGTTACGCACTGAGATCGCGATGAGACTAATGAGCCGTGTACACTGATTAGGATACCTACAGGGTAGTCCGTTACATATGATAATGCTAAGTATCAAAATCTTGCACGGAGTTGCATTGAGATAGCCAAGCGATAGCCTGAGTCATTGGCGGATGCCAGTTATATTTTTGACTCACTGCTAAAATATATGACCCAGAGTACTTTGCATATGAAAGTACACGAGATTTGTGTCGATATTCATTCTATCTCCCTAGTGGCAGTGGCAGTGGCAGTGGCAAATATTATGAATACGATATGTTGATGTCTTTTTTTTTCTTTTTCTGCTTTTCTTTATTTCTTAGGTTGGGATCAATAATTAGCGGTTCACAATTTGAGACATATGGTATATACATGAAGGTTTCCTTGTTTGGATTATTTCGCTCGATGTACCAGTCTCGTGTTGTGGATTTCAAATTGTTGATTTCATTTAGATTGTTTATCCTTAATTTGGTATTAATGTTTGGATGTTTACGATTCGGGACATATGGTATATACATGAGGGTTTTCTTGTTTGGATTATTTTGGTCGACGTACTACATCTCGTTTTGTAGGTGTCTGAATATTAATTTCGCTAGATACGGGGAAAATGATATAGGTAGACTATGCTTAATAAATAGAGCCTCCACTCCATCTTGCAGCCCTTCCCCTTGGGACGGATGGAGG